CACGAACCCGTGTCCCCTGCATCGGCAGGCAGACTCTCAACCACTGCGCCACCAGGGAAGCCCTGTTTTAATCTTTTTAAAGAATTTTTTTTCCAATTAGTTTTTTGCTCACACTTGCTCATCTTAGGCCTGTCTCCGGTGGACTCGCATATTTACAACTAGTTGATCTCTTCCTTTACTCCTGCTTTTTCTTTCTTCCTTCCCCTGGGGAGTGATGCTCCATGGTTGGATTTCCAACAGCATCTAGGGAATGGAGGTTGGATTTCTGCTGCTTTGATGGCCTGATTCCAGGAGCTTGAGGGAGGATTGGCTCAGACAGGTCACCCTAACCTTTAGGCTGGGAGCTGCTCTCTCGAGCAGGGAGAGGCAGCAGGAGCAGGGGCCCCTCCATGTGGCCACAGTCTCGCCAACATCAGCTTGCCTCCGCTTTCATTTTTGCCTCTGCATCCCTGTGCAGGCGAATGCAGAGCCCACCTCTGCCGCACCTACTGAATGAGACTCTGAGTGTTGAGGACTTGGATCTGTAGTTTGATAGGTTCCTTAGGTGGTTCTGATGTGGTGGCTGGGAAGATATCCTGGGAAACTGTTTCACCCAGACTGAGCTGGCCTGAAGTTCTAGTTCCTACATTGGGCATTTGTTGCTGGAGCCTTAGAAAAGTCAACTAGAGTCTTAGCTGTGGTCTGATAAATTCCAAAAGAAACACCTCCTCTGTTGTGTACCAAGGCAGTTCGTGGGAGTGACGCCCCCTTATGCCCACCTCCAGGTATAAGCAGTGAGGTGGAGATGCTGTCTGCAGAGAATTTAAAAACAATAACGAGGGAATTCCTTGGTGGTCCAGTGGTTAGGGCCTCACGATTTCACTGTGAATGGCGTGGGTTTGATCCCTGGTCGGGAAACTAAGATCCCGCAAGCCCCGAGGCAGTGGCCAAAAAAAAAAAACCAAACAGTAATAAAATCGAATAAAAAGATAGGGGTTGGTCTGATTTTTATCATCACTATACCCCAGCAAGTCTACACAACCTGGTCAGCGATCGAATAAATACTCCTTCCTGCTCAACCAGCCACACCCCCCAAACCCTTCTGTGCCTCCCCGGCCTCGACAAAGTCTGGTGAGTCGCCATCAGCAAGTAACACCTCATCTTTTTTGGTTTCTTTTCCAATGTGTTTATTTTTCAAAATATACAATTTATTTACACCTTTATTTCACAACGGTAGTTTGTATATTTATTCCAAAATCTTTAAATAACCCCACAGTAAACAGTACAAATCACAGGATGGGTCAAACTGCTTCCCTTTAGCCTTTACACACATCGAGTTTTTAAAAAGTTTCAAGTAGTAACGGTTTGTGGGTAAGAAGGGAACAAAAATAAGACAAAAACGTTTTTACATAAGCTCGACATGTAGGATTAGAAAGGGCAATCTGAGCAGATACTTGGTCTGGGGCCCGACTAAGGGTATTTATATAGTTTATAAATAAGACCCTCTTATGAGCAGCGAGGGTTTTGGTTATGAGGAAGAAAGGGTGGGAACCTCGTCCGCTGGGGTGGGAGGGGCTGGGAGATAAGGCACCGCATCAAGGCTTCTTCTCGACTTAAGGAGGCACTGGCTGGAAGGGTCCTGAGTGAGGCGGGCAGGGGCCCACTTATGCCAGGTGGAGGTCGAGAATGGCTGGGGCCAGGATGGGGCTCCCATCCATGGAGAGGTCTCTTTAGCCTCCCTTGGGGAAAAGCTTTGTGATTCTGGAGGCGGAGAGATGGCTAGAGCAGCTGGTGCTTCCTAAAGAAAGGGGCGTGGGCTCCCTCCAGCCTTGAGACCCGCAGCAGCTACTCTCGGCCCACCTGCACAGACAGGTGAGGGCCAGGCGTGTGGGTGCTGGATGTGTCACAGCCCGAGGCACCTGGTGATGCAGCTGGCGTTTGTCACTGGCAGGGGATAAAGGTGCCGCCCCAGGATTGGGGATGGCCTGTAGGAGGCTTCCTGCTTTCTCCTCTTCGGACAGTGTTTCATCCACCTCTGTGTCCTCCAGTCCTCAGGAGAACAGCCAGAGCCACCACACACTCCCCGGCAACAGAAGGTGGGGAAGATGAGGGCCATGGCCCTGCAGACCCCGCTCTTCACTGTTAACACTGGCAGCTCCAGGGTGCTAAGACACAGGTGGGACACCAGCTGGTCCCAGGGGTCAGTTGCCTTCACTCCCCTTAGGAAAGTCCCCACTGGCCGGGTCCTGAAGCAGTCCTGTGGGCTAAGGCACTGGGTGGGGGTGTGAGTGAAGAGGCTGGGATGCTCCAGGAAAGAGCTAGTCCCTGAGGGCCACTGGGCCACCAAGTGGACGTGACCCTCCTGTGCTGGGTCAGGAGGGCAGTCTCAGGGTTAGCCTCGGGCTTCAGGGTTTCCCCAGCAGCCTCCACCAAGCCCAAGGGCCGGACAAAGCCCGCACTGCCTGGTCAAGCAAACCTTCTTTGCAGGGTCTGGGTGGGGGTGGACTGGGGTAGGGGCCACAGCGGGGCTGAGGGCAGCACAACAGGGCTGGGAGTTGTCACTGTATCTTCGGGTGGGGTTCTTCCAGAATAAGGGTGTGGAAAAAGTGATCCCAAAATTTAGTGCTGATGCCAAATCCTAGAGAGGGAGACAAATGGGGAGAAGATGAGGCATTCTTGAAGGAGTCAATTTGCTTGGAAGGGAGCCTAGCTGGGGCTAGCACGTGGGGAAGATTTCAACATCGGTCCCCGATGGCCTTTCCAACTCTCAGGGCCATTCTGGCAGAAGTCAAGAGCAGGGTACCAGTGTTTCTAGATTCCCAAGGATACTGTTGGAATAACCCCAAATTTCTTTCTTTCTTTCTTTTTTTTTTTTTGCAGTACGCGGGCCTCTCACTGTTGTGGGCTCTCCCGTTGCGGAGCACAGCCTCCGGACGCGCAGGCCCAGCGGCCATGGCTCACGGGCCCAGCCGCTCAGCGGCATGTGGGATCCTGGGTTGTTCCCAGACCGGGGCACAACCCCGTGTCCCCTGCATCGGCAGGCGGACTCTCAACCACTGCGCCACCAGGGAAGCCCCCAAATTTCTTATCTGGCCTGGCTTCCTGGGAGAGCCTGGCTGCTGCCTGCCTCTTCCTCTCTCTCCCTCACGCTCCAGCCGCCTCCTTCTCTTTGAAGATGCCAAGTTCATTCCTGCTTCAAGGCTTCACACCTGTTGCTCCCGGGATGCTCTTTCTCCAGACATTGGATGCTGGCTTCTCCTAATTCAGGTCTCAGCTCTAACGACGTCTCTGCAGTGACACCTTCCTGGACCACTTTAGCTAGCATTCTGCTGTCCAGCAGGGTAGCCACTAGCCCATGTGACTCCTGAGCACTGGAAATGTGGCCTGAGCTATGGAGGGACTAAATTCCCAGTTTCATTTAATTTTAATTAACTTACATTTCAATGTAAAAAGCTATACTCGATTCAGTTACTGGAAAACTTTTAGGCACGTTTGGAGCAACTCATGTATGTGAATCTACTTTTTTGACTGTAAATTTTACAAACTCTAAATATGGATCAAGTGTTTCCAATGAACATTTAGCCCTTGAATGGCGACGGGCTTGTAAGTGCAAGATACACACTGGATATCGAAGACTTAATAGAAGGAAAGAATGTAAAATTTCTCATTAACAATTTTAATTTTTTTGGCCACGCCGCACGGCTTGAGGGATCCCAGTTCCCCAACCAGGGATCAAACCTGGACCCACGGCAGGCTGAGTCCTCAGGCTGAAAGCACTGAGTCCTAACCACTGGGCCTCCAGGGAATTCCCAACAATTTTTATATTGATCACACGTTGAAATGATAATATTTTGGTTGTATTTGGCTTAATAAACTATATTCATAAAATTAACTTCATTGGTTTAATTTCACATGTTAATGTGGCTACTAGAAAATGTAAAACCCCATCTGTGACTCACATTCTATATTATTAAACAGTGTGGGTCCCCTCCCCTGCTGACATGGTTTCTCTAACATCACTTTGCTTTATTTTCTTTGTGGCACTTATCACTGTCTGAAATGGTCTTTGCTATTTACTGGTTTCCTTGTTTGTCTGCACAGCCCCCTGTACCAGGGACTAGGATTGGGAGTTCCATGCTTGCCTTGCTGAATGTGTATCCCCAGAACCTTGCCTGGCCCTGGCTAGAAGCTCAGGGGTAGCTGTCAAATAAGAAATGAACAAACGAGGAAGCGGGGAGGCACCGGCAGGTCCTCACCTGACTGCTGATGTGCAAAGTGGTGCTTGACGTGGTGGGCCTTCAGGTTGTACAGGTAGGAACCCTTGTGCGGGGAGCCGAAGTGCAGATAGTAGTGGATCATGTCGTAGATGACGTAGCCCAGGAGGCCACCTGCAAACACAGTGCCCCCCACCGCCTCGGGCAGGATGAGCCGTAAGAGCGCGTAGAAGAAAGCTATCACCAGAGAGGCTGGCACAGGGGGGAAGACCAGGCGGGACTCGTCGAAGGGTGCCTGTGGATGGAGGGGCTCACGTGTCAGGACGCAGCCCGGGGCCCCAGGGCCTGACTGTGGTCACACACAGCATGCCGGCCCAGAGGTGCTCCCATGGGGGATGGGGCAGAGCAGCCCAGACAGTCCAGGGAGGCTGTAGGCTTGGCACCCTTGGTGGCTTTGGGGAGGGTGGGCCACCAAACCTAAAAGCCCTGGAGAGACTGTCCCACCCGCAATTTCCAAGCCAGGATGGGACCTGGAAAACCGGCCAAGAAAACAGGGGTGGGTGTGATGTGGGCAGGATGCTCACGGAGCAGAGCCCCTCTTTGTGCCGAAGAGGCCCCTGGGGCTCTGGAATTTGTTCGGTGCTAGGGAGGAGGCCCAACCTGCCACCCCGAGTACCAGGCGGGGCACCTGGACAAGGCCTGAGGGTGAAGAAGGCGCACATGGTAGACGATCCTGGAAGTGTTAACAGGCAGGTCCCCCGCCCCAGGCGGCCGTCTCTGTTCCAAGGGGGTGTTGTCACAGTGAACCGGACAACAAAAGAACCTAGTCTTTGGCTCTGGAGCTTCACAAGCCAAGGGCCTGGCAGACAGGTAAGATTTTAGGGACTGTGTGAGTATTCTGAGGAGAGACCCTCTCTGGGCTGAAAGAGGAGAGAGAGAAATCAGCAATATACTGATGTGGGCCTCCCTCCCCTCTGACCAGGAGCAGCAGGACTTGCTGGCCATGTGCCAGAACACCAGCACCAGGACAAAGAAGGAAGGAGGGGAGGGGGGAGGATGGAGACCCTGAGACAGGCTGAGAACAGCACGGTGCAGGGACAGAGAAGCAGCAGGGGGATACAACTTCCTCTGGGCAGACCTGGCTTCCAATCCCAGCTGCTGGGACCATCATGTGGCCCTTGAAGAGCCCCAGGGGGGTGGATGCCTGACAGCACAGACTCTGGATTCCACAGGGGACAACATCCAGGTGTGACCTTGGGTGAATTCCTTAGTTCCTTTATCTCCCCAAGCCTCAGTCTGCCAGTCTGTGGAATGGGGAGAACTGTAGCACCATCTTCAGAATGAAGCTCCACAAGGGCAGTGATTCTTGACTGTTTTGTTCAGTGGTGTCTAGAACAGTGCCCGGCACATAGTGAGCACTTAAGTGAGCATTTACTGAATGAATCAATAAATGAAGGAATGAAGTTGTTGTGAGGATTAAAGTTGGACACACATGCTCACTCTGTCCACGCCTGGTGCAGGTTAGGACCCAGTCACACCCAGTCACATTTCCCCTCGCTCTCAACGTGACTCCCACCAAGATGGGCAGCTCCCACGGATGGGACCCGGGTGAGAGCCTGCCCTGCTCACCTTGTGGTGCTGGCCGTGCATGATGAAGTGCAGCATGATGAGGTAATAGCTGTTGTTGGGGGGCTTCATGTGGAACAGGAAGCGGTGGATGAGGTACTCTACTAGGCTCCAGAGGAGCAGCCCCAGCATGAAGAGACCTGGGAACGTGGACTCAGGCATGGCTACTGAGTACTCTGCAGAGGGGCAGGAGAGAGGCAAGGTCAGGGCAGACAGCCCCAGGTCACAGCAGTGCCTGGTAGCTCCAGAGGTCCTGTCTCAAGGCCCTGTCACCTTAGGAGCTGCTGCCCTTTGCCCAGCAGCTATGGGGCCCAGCCCCACTATTAGGGCCTTTGAATCAAAATGGGAAGGAGGCTGTGACGATCTATGTTGGGCTTAGGAGGAGTCCTCTCAGAGGACTATTGATATGGGGTATTACACTGATTTCAGATGTTGAACCACCCTTGCATTCTGGAACAAATCCCATTTGGTGGTGGTGTATAATCCTTTAATATGTTCTAGGATTCAGTTTTCTAGTGTTTCTTTGAGGACTATTGCATCTATATTCATCAGTGATATTCGTTTGTAGTTTTCTTTCTTGTGGTGTCTTTGTCTGGCTTTGGTATCAGAGTAAGATTTGGCTAGACATCTGAGATCTTCCTTAAAGTGACTGTAAGAGGAACAGCTATGGCCAGCACTGGACCTTTACCTGGTGCTATGGTCGGAATGTGTTCCCTCAAATTCATATGTTGAAACCTAACCCCCAAGGTGATGGGAGGTGGTTAGGTCATGGGGTGAATAGGACTAATTCCCTCATAAAAGAGGCTCGAGAGAACTCTTCCCCTTTGTGCCATGTGAGGATACAATGAGTCTTTGACCTAGAAGAGGGCCCTCACCTGACCATGCTGACACCCTGATCTTGGACTTCCAGCCTCCAGAATCGTGAGCAATTCATTTCTGTTGTTTACAAGCCACCCAGTCTGTGATGTTTTGTTATAGAAGCCCGAACGGACTAAGACACAAGGAAAAAGTGACCTTGCCCCAGCAGCATGGAGGAGAGGGAGGGGCGATTCTGATGAAGCCAGCAGAGCTGGGAGGCTATTGGTGGAAGGTGTTAAGCACCAGGGACTGGGGGGCCAGGAGGGCCAGGAAAACCAAGGAGAGATAGGTTCATGAATAATACTTCAAATCACAGCATATGAGGAAGATGTGAAAAACCTGAGATGATTAGCCCGGAGACCAGAAGACTGGAGAGATGTAATTATCATGAAGTGTGAGGTTCCCCATGCCCAGCCCTCGGAGGACAGCCTGCAGTCCTTCCGGCTCTCGTTTCTTTTCTCTCCATCATCCATTCTTTGACTTCACCGACACTTCAGCTCTTGTCGCAGTTTTCTTCATGTCTATGCTCACCCTCTTAGTTCTGCTTCTTTTCTCCACAAGCTATTGCTTTGGCTATACTGGCTCTCTCTTTTAAAAAGGAGCAGCTTTATTGAAATGTAACTCACATATCTTACAATTCACCCATTTAAAGTGTACAATTCAATGGTTTTTAGTATACTCAGAGTTGTACAACCATCACCACAATTTTAGAACATTTTTATCACCCCAGAAAGAAACACATTACCCATTAGCAGTCACTACTCATTTCCTCCAACCCCTGCCATTTCCCAGAGCCAGGAATCCCCTAATCTACTTTCTGTCTATTGCATTTGCCTATTCTAGATATTTCGTATCAATGGACTCATACAGTATGTGGTCTTTTGTGACTGGCTTCTTTTACTTACAATATTTTCAAGGTTCATCCACGTTGTAGCATGTATCAGAACTTCATTCCTTTTTAAGGCTGAATAATATTCCTTATTAATATGGATGCACCACATTTGTTTATCTACTCCTCAGTTGATGGACAGCTGAGTTGTTTCTACTTTTTGGCTGTTATGAATAATGCTGCTATGAACATTCATGTGTGATTTTTTGTGTGGACGTACGTTTTCAGTTGTCTTGGGTATATGCCTAGGAGTGGAATTGCTGGCACCTACTGCAACTATGTTTAACTTTTGGGGAAACTACCAAACTGCTTTCTAAAGCTAGCTATTCTCTCTCTCTCTCTTTTTTTTTTTGCTGTACGCTGGCCTCTCACTGTTGTGGCCTCTCCCGTCGCGGAGCACAGGCTCCGGACGCACAGGCTCAGCGGCCATGGCTCACGGGCCCATCCGCTCCACGGCACGTGGGATGTGGGATCTTCCCGGACCGGGGCATGAACCCGTGTCCCCTGCATCGGCAGGCGGACTCTCAACCACTGCGCCACCAGGGAAGCCCTAGATCGTAGTAATTTTTTTCAATTCGTCTCTAACTTGGCTGTGGCATATGACATTGGTGACCACCCTATTTTTGAATCTGTAACCCCGTAAGTTCCCATCCTGAGGTTTATGAATACCCAGAGTCCCTGGTCGGACTTCAGAGTGAACCTGCTGACATGGTATCCCAAACGATGCGTCTGTGTGCATCTTTCTGGGGGTTGAGTCCACAAATTTTCAGATTCTCAAAGGAACTGGAACCAACAAGGTTTGAACACACAGCTCCACTCCCTGCCTGCTGGGATACTTGGCTTTTCTCCTCTTCTCTAGATGCCCTTTGTCAGGCTCCATCGTGGAAACTGCCTCTGTCCCCAGGGTCAAAACCTTGACCCTCCCCTCATATGCTCTCTGTTTGATCTAGGATGTCAGCCACACCTGCCTGCTGACAAGCCCCAGACCTATGCCTCCAGCTCAGCCCTGGATGGCCACTTGCTACTGGGCATCTCCATGCGGCTGTCCACAGCCCCTCCTCCAAGGTCAGCAGCTTCCAAATGAAGCCAATCATTTTTCTTCCTTCCTGCCCACCCTATCACCCCAGGCTGCACCTCAGTGGGGGGGTTAATGACGTCCACACATTACCTAAGGCTCAACTTATCCCTCTCTCCCGTGTCCAACCTGTCACCAAGCTCTGTCAGCTGCCTCTCCTTAATATCTTCTGGCAAAGTAAAAAAAGAAGCCAGACACAAAAGACCACACATTGTAGGAGTCTATTTATATGGCATGTCCAGAATAGGCAAATGTAGAGAGACAGAAGTAGACTGGTGGTTGCCAGGGGCTGGACGAGGGCGGGGGGGGAATGGGGAGCAGCAGCCCAGTGGGGGTGGGGTTTCCTTTTGGGATGATGAAAACATTTTGGAACTAGACAAAAGTGGTGGTGGCACAACATTGTGAACGTACTAAATGCCACTAAATTGTTCTCTTCAGAATGGTTCATTTTATGTTATATGTATCTCACCTCAATTTAAAAAGGAATCTCCTGGGTCAGTTCACTGCTCTGACGCCCCCACTACCTCATCACCTGGTAGCTGCATCAGCTTCCTACTCCAGCTCTCTGCCCCTACATGCTGTTAAAACCCTCCTGTGGTGCCTCGTTCTCTTTAGGTAAAGTCCAAACCCTTAGCCTGGCACTCGAGCTCCCTTGAGACCCAGCCCTGCCAGCCACATCCCTGCCTCATTGCCCCATCACCCTGTACGGGGGCCAAACCGAACCACCTGTGGCTCCTGAGATGCCCACGTTCCCCACCCACACATATCTTTCCCTTCGCTGGAATTCCCTCTCTCCCTTCCTTACCCAACGTGTCTCCTGTGAGAAGCCTCCGCAGACACCATTTGCCCCGACCTGGGCCGCCTGCCACATCATCCTTTATCATGTTGAGCTATGGCTGCTGTTTTACTCATTCGTCCGCACCAGGCTGTGAGCATTTTAGGGGCAGAGTGGGTATTTTGTTCTGTATCTCCTGTGCTTAACACAGCAGGTGCTCAGACACTCGTGGGAGATTCATGGGCCAGCCCAAGTCTCTCTGGAGGGCTGGGCAAAGATGAGATTTGATCCGTACCGTTCTAAGGGCAGAACAGGGGCAGCCTCTGGTTCCGTTTAAGAAAGCACTTCTGAAGGACTGTGCCCAGTGTGAATGACCACAGGGAACTAGTGAGTAAGGAGAGAGCCCAGGAAGGCGAAGAGGAGAGGTGACTTTCCTGCTCTGCGGACCAGATTCCAGGCCCAGGGCCATCCTGATAGACGGTTCCAAATGAGTCTCTAAGCTAAGGAAGGATTTTTCACACCTTGCCTGGAAAGTAACACACAACGCAGCTAAGGTTCAATCCCCAAAGGACCCAGCCAGTCTTTCTCAAATCAGGCGTTGAGCTGGTCTGACATTTCTCATCAGTGGGGCCTGCTGTGTCCACATCTGGCATGAGACACTTGCCTGACAGCAGTGCCTGTCAGTGGCCATCCAGCCCTAGCTGGGCTGCCCTGGTTGGCCAGGTCCCACTTTGAGGGAAGGCTGGACACCTCTGGTGTCTTTCAGGACACTCTGGTGAAGTGCAGGGAGCCTGGGCTTTGGATTTGCAGACCGGGGTTCAGATGCCGACTCTGTACCATCTACGTGTTTTCTCAACAGTAAAATATCCTACCACTTGTGAAGGGCTGTTGCTAAGACAGAGAGAATATAACACCTGATTATGTGATAAATATATATCTTATATGTAAGAATAATATATTGTATATTAATACTTATCATAATAATATAATATGCCTCATATATAACAAGCAGCTACTATAATTTTTAAATATAATGAGTCAAAGTACATCTAAGTTCCACACCAGTCCTCCTTGTGCTGTGTTTTCTCAGTTCTCCTTGCAAGGCTCTGGAGGGTCCCTGGTTGGGGGAGAAGGAGTTTCCCAGCTCCCCCACCCCCCCGCCCCAGAGTGCAGGAGCCCTTCCTCGCTGTGTAGCTCTCTTGTCGGCAGGGAAAGGACGGGACATACAGAAGCATTGCCTGGCCACAGACTTTGGTCTTGACCTTTGCTGGGGCTCCCACCACAATTGCATGGAGGCCTGAATCCTTGCCTAGGACGCTGCTCTGCACTCACTCTAATGTGCCTCCAGGAACTGTGCTGGGGGCCAGCCTGGATGTGCAGAAGCCCTCTGCTTTCCAAAGCATTTTCACACATGCACCTGGGAATTTCAGCCTTGCACTGGTGTCTCCGTGCAGCCTTCCACTGTTCCTTGGCACCCTGAGTCCCCTGCATTTACTCCAGTGCACCCTTTGTCCAGCAGCTGTGCTGGGACCCTGCTGAGTTTCCACTCGCCTTGCTTTGTGGCTCTATTTTTTTCTGCCTGTGGCCTGTGCCTTGCCTGATGAGCTGCAGGTGAGGGAGGCGTGTGCAGCTCTCACGCCACCATCGCTGGCATCATGGTCACAGCCCCACTAACCCCCTACACTAGACCTTTATTAGACAGCACATTTCAGCTCTCTGCAGAGGCCCGTGGTTCTGAAGAAGCCATCGAATCACCCTCCCTGCCTCGCAGAAGAGTCCCCTCCTATAGGTCAAGTCTCCGCCCGCCCCCTCACCCCAGCATCACCCCCGTCAGCCCATCAGGCCGGAGCTGGTACCGAGTGGCATCTCTGGAGGAATCCTGCAAAGGGACCTGGGCCAAAGCTCTGGCATCCCATTCCCCCTCCGGCCCCAGCCCTGGCGGCCCTGCCACTGTTGGTGATTGTTAGGGGAGCGCCCAGCAGACAGTGGGTGATTCAGTGAGCAGGCCGTCTCAGCAACAAGCCCTGTGCTGTGCCTGAGCTATTCAGCGTGGGCAGAAAAGGGTAACCTTGGCTCGAGGGGTGCACACATTAACCCTTGGGGACCGGGAGCAGGCTGGGCTCTGGGGGACTTCCTGCAGCTGGCTCAGCACCTCCCCATCCTGGACCAGGTGGGAAAACTGGGGCTCCAGTTGCTGTGGCTGTGGCCCCTCTCATCTAAACCATTCAGCCCTCAACTTCTCCTTCTGGGGGAGGCGGGCAGGAGAGAGCCTCGGAGTGTGGAGAGAAGGAGCCTCTGTCTGGCAGCGACAGGGGTTCAGAGGCTCACAGTTGGGAACATGACATGTGATCAGGAGAGGAAAGCCCACCTGAGCTATTCCCAGCACCCCTCTCCCACCTGTCCCCCTACCCGGCCTCTGTCTGAGCCATTTGCCATGGGCAAGCACTTCCCCAAGGCAGGTTCTGCCAGGACGGACAGATTACCTGGGCAGGTGGCACGCACCTGGAGACCAAAGGTAGGTGATCAACTTGGGAGGCAGGCTGGCAGAAGAGGCCCAAACCTGTGGCTGCCCTGAGAGACTCAGCCTCACAGGCTCTTTGGAAGTCACCCCATGTCAGCCCTTCTCTCTGTCCCCTGCCCACCTGGGTGGCACCTAGCATCTACATCCCAGCCACGTGACCCTGAATTGCTCACTTGACTTCCTGAGGTTCCATTTCCTTATCTCTAAAGGGGTGTACCTTTCTTGTGGGGCTGTTGGGAGGGTTAAATGAGATGGTCCCTGGAAAGCACCAGGCATGTGATAAGTGCTCAGTAGAGGTTAGTGGGTTGCTACTCTGAGTCAGGGCTTCTGCCGCCGGGCCTTTGCCCTGGGGGACATTCTAAGACACTCTGGGATCCTTCTCTCCCAGGCTCTAATCTGTGCTCTGTTCGTGAACCATTCCAAGTTCAGCTCTCTGCTGTGCCACCTGGTGAAATGACTTCATTTAGTTTCCTGATGAACAATCCCAGGTCACACTTTTTCTCTTCTTAGACTCAGTGAGAAACCCCCGTCTTTATTGTTACACCACTTGATGAAATGATTTCATTTAGGGTCTGCTAATGTGTGGCTGGTTGTTTTTTAAAACTCATTTTGTGGAGGGTGGGGAGGCCTGACATTTCTTTTGGAAGGATATTTCTACAGACAGACCTCATTTTAAAATCTTTGTGATATGGTTTAGGGTTCTATGTTCTCAGAAACTCAGGACCAGGGAGAGCACCAAGGTCTCCGGCCTTCAGGAGCCACGGGAGCAATTGAGGAAGGACCCGACATTACCTGTGGTGAAGGACGTGAAGAGTCGGACGTTGCCCTGGGCGAGGGTTCGGTAGTAGGACCAACTGAGATACAGCATCAGGGGAACCCAGATGATAGGGACGCTGTACCTGCAGGAAGGTCGTCAGGGTGAGAGATATACATGCACAGAAGCTCGAGAGGGTCCAACTTCCCTAGAGACACACCTCTCAACTAGAGGGGGATGAGATGATACCAAAGCATGTGCACAAAGCATATGGAGACCTGCGGTCCAGGGGACAGTGATGTGGGGGATGGGGAGGGGAGGAGGAGAAAAGAAGAGAGAAGCTGTGAGTCTGTCTCAGTCTCTGAGATGACTTACTGGCAGGGAAAAAAAAAAAAAAAAGTCCTTCTGGCTAACAGTGCAGCTAGATAGGTGCTGACCTCTTGTGGCAGAGGGGCTAATTGCAGGCAAAATAGTCTGCCATGGGCAGGGAAGGCTAGAAACCCCTCACAGGAGTCTGGAATAGAACAGGAGTGACATTCAAAGTGGTTTCTGGCTACATGGATTGTCACTCAGTGGACAAAATCATGCATACGAATGGATTATGCCTATGGCATGTTCCACTATCGCCAAGAGCTTACAGTACAGCTCTGGGCTCCAGGGAGGGATCCATTTGCCCCTTCCCCTTTGCATCTGACTGGCACCATCAGGAGAGAGGGATAGCCCACCATGGTCCGAGAGCAGGGCTCACCAGACAGTCTTGCTGAGGGCCTCGATGAGATCTGAGTGGAAGAGGCGGATGGGCCTGGTCACCGGCTGGTGGACCCACTCATCATATTTCTCTCCCAAGTGGCCTACCTGCCACAGTAGGGGCTTCTGCCAGTCTACCAGGTCCTGCAAGAGATAAAGTCAAGTGGACACTTGAAATTCACACCTGTGCACATTTGTTCTCCCATCTCCTGGTTACAGCATCCTACTCCCCAGCCCCACCTCAGCTTATGTGGTCTGTATGGAGCTAACAACCCTCCTGCTCCAGTGCCTGGGGACTAACTGTTCATCCCAACCCGAGGGCCACAGAAATGGGATCCAGGATAGGCCCATGGCCTAGGCTGGTGCAATGAGCCATCGGACAACCCTCTCCTCTTGCTGGGATTGCTAGGTTGGCAGGGCATGACCCTGGAGTTGCCAGTGAAGGCTGCCTGAGGATGAAGTCAACACAGAGGATGCCCAAGCCAGGAGCTGGAGACACTGAATCCTGGTGATGACATCTGAGTGCCTAGATTCAGCCATGCATGAAGCTTGAAGTCTTAACCAGGATTCTTTAGGTATAGGAGCCAATACATTCTGTACTAGGAATCAAGTAGGCCCTTCCTCCTCCAACAAGGGCTTTCTTTTTTTTTTTTTTTGTGGCTGCACTGGGTCTTCGTTGATGTGCACAGGCTTTTCTCTAGTTGCGGCGACTGGGGGCTATTCTTCACTGCAGTGCGTGGGCTTCTCATTGCAGGGGCTTCTCTTGTTGTGGAGCACAGGCTCTAGGGGCGTGGGCTTCAGTAGTTGCGGCACGCAGGCCCCAGAGCACGAGGGCTTCAGTAGTTGTGGTGTGTGGGCTCAGTGGTTGCAGCTCACAGGCTCTAGAGTGTGCACTCAGTAGTTGGTGGCGCATGGGCTTAGTTGCCTCGAGGCATGTGGGATCTTCTCAGACCAGGGATCGAACCCACGTTCCCTGCATTGGCAGGCAGATTCTTTTTTTTTTCTTTAATTTATTTATGTATTTTTATTTATTTATTTTTGGCTGCATTGGGTCTTCATTGCTGTGTGCGGGCTTTCTCTAGTTGCTGCGAGGAGGGGCTACTCTTCATTGTGGTGCATGGGCTTCTCATTGCGGTGGCTTCTCTTGTTGCAGAGCATGGGCTCTAGGCACGTGGGCTTCAGTAGTTGTGGCACATGGGCTCAGCAGTTGTGGCATGCAGGCTCTAGAGCGCAGGCTCAGTAGTTGTGAAGCACAGGCTCAGTTGCTCTGTGGCATGTGGGATCATCCTGGACCAGGGCTCGAATCCGTGTCTCCTGCACTGGCAGGTGGATTCTTAACCACAGCCCCACCAAAGAAGTCCAAGGGCTTTCTTCTTAGTGGTGGCCTGTGTAATTCATTCATTCACCCATTCAAACAATCATTCGTTCAGCACTTTGCTTGACATATATCTATATTTCTATGTTAGTTGCTGGGAAGAATAAACAACAATGTAAGATACCATCTTTGCTTCACATAGCTTAGTGCTGAAGCACAGTTCAGACTCTAGAGACAGGCTCTACCACTTACTGTGTGACCTTGGGGAAATTACTTGACCTCTCTGAGCCCCAGTTTACCTAGCTATGAAATGGAAGTAATAATAATGGTACCCACATAAAGTACTTAGCAAGGTGAGACATGCCAGGCAAGATAATTTAATGGTGATGCAGGCAGGCTGAGGTTGGGAGGCAGAATGATTGGTACAAATGCCCGGGTCTAGGGTAGGAGAGGAGGGCTTTGCCACAGAACCTAGGGTTTGGGTTGAGCTCATACAATATGGAATACTTGGGAAGGGGGAGAAGGGAAAGGAGGTGGGGAGGGAGTATGGGCATAGATGTGGAGTTGAGAATGATTGTGGCCCATTTGATTCCTTGACATTGGTCTGTGGGGCAGTAGAAAGAGATCTTCTGAGGGCTTTAGATGACAGAACACCCAGTATCAGGCCCAGGAGTTGTCACTTCATCTTCCAGGCTGGCTGTCTCCAAGGTAGGGATGTATGTGTACCCCAGGGATACTCACAGGCTGATCCCCAGAGGTGAGGAGAAAATATTAGAGACTCTTTTTGATATATTTCTTTCATATATAAACCATATTTGAATGTTTTCTAATGTACATAATACAATTTGTAGATAATTTAAATGGACATACAATGGAGAATGTGCTCAAAACGTTTTACTTAATAGGGATGCAAGGTCAAAAAAGTTTGGAGGCTGCAGAAGCCTTTGAAGACAATGGGAAGCCCTTGAAGATTTCTGATGACTCGGTGTATTGAAGATTAATCTAGACCAAAATCGGTAAAGAAAAATGACCTTGGAGTCAGGTGACCACCTTCAAAGCCTGACTCTGCCTTTTATCAGCTGTGGGATCCTGGGCAAGTGCCTTTACCTCTCAGAGCCTCTCGGCTCTCTCGTCTGTAAAGCCAAGTGTGCCTGGACCCACCACCCACAATAGGAGAGAGGGCGCCATGTGCCCAGTGTCTGGTACTCAGTGGGTGTCAATGAACGTCCAATGCAGGGCATTCGGCGGCCACTGCGGGTGACAGGGACGTGGTGTCAGGAACTGAGGGCTAACAGTCACAGAGCACTGGTTACGTGCTAAGCATGTTTCTAAACACCTGACGTGAGTTAAATCCTGTGATCCTCACTGCACCCATAACTAGGCGGGTACTTTTATTGTTGTCGTTTGCAGATGAGGAAATTGAAGGTGAGTAACTTGCCCAAGGCTGCCCAGTTAAGACATTTTTGATGAATTGGCCCCTTTATTATTGGGAAATAGTCCCTGGTAATACTCCTTGTCCTGAAGTCCACTCTGTCTGAGTTTAGCAAGGCTTCCTTATACTTGGTGTTTGCATGGTCTTTCTTTCCCCACCCTTTTACTTTCACCTTGCACATGCCTTTAAATTTAAAGTGCATCTCTTGCAGACAGTGTATAGTTGGGTCTTGCTTTTTGATCTAGTCAGACACTCTCTGCCTTTTAATTGGAGTATTCAGTCCATTTACATTTAATGTTGTCTTGCTATTTGCTTTCTGTTTGTCTCCTCTGTTCTTCCCTTCTTGACTTGTTTGTGTCGCTCAAGAATTAAAAATATTCTATATTATCTGCTCTGCTGGCATTTTAGCTATGCCTTTTTGTATATTTCTTAGTTGCTGTTCAAAGGATGATAATGTGCGTCCATAGCTTATCACCATCTATCTCTAGTGAAAGCCCTGGTTTTTACGTGTTCCACTTTTGCACGTTACACACGACACTTAATTCAGACTCAGCTACCTTAGACAAGGAACGTTTCCAGCTGTGGCACAGGTATGTGAACAGGCAGGCCTCTCTGTCAGCCAAGCAGTGGTTTGGGAAAATTTTTTCTGTTGATCCGTTTTGCCCTTATTTTGTAAAGCGAACAGAAAACAGCATGGGATTCATAAGCTTGATTCAGTTGAGACCCAGGAGGAAACGTCTAGGTCTAGCACCAAGCAGGGATTCCAGCCTGAATCTAACACCCTGTTGTGAAGGGAACAGGACAGACAGACAGAGAATGTATGGAGAAGCTGGAGTCAGATGGCAGGAGAGCTGCTTGTTTATAGGCATGATGGAAACAGAGCCAGCCTCTCCTCCCAGACACAAGGGTCTCTCATTTGATGGCCTGTTGCCCACTGGATCTTTGGACATGACTTGGGTTCCTCCCTGGCTAGACCAGTGGGCACTGGCCACTGTACAAAGGGCGGACTTGCTGTCTTGAGTTGGCCCCAAGGGTCCTCTGACCTGCTGGCTGGCCTTGGAGGGCCTGGAACCTGGGCTCTGTGTCTAGCCCCCCGTGCATTTCTGCAAGGTAGCCCTCATTGGTGCCCAGGAAGGGCCACTTCACCCTGGGGGATGAAGGACCACGGCGGAGGAATCCCAAGAAGGCTCACTTTCCTATCTGCAAACATCCCCCTCAGTCCCCAAAGGCTGACACCTGCACTCTCCCCGCTGGCAGTCCTGCTATGCCAGGGGCAGTAAAGCTACCCTTCCACATTAAGTGTAGAAATGCAGCTTGGCTGACTTCCTCCCCACTTTGAGAAGGAGGACACTGAGGCCAGGAGGGGTCAGGTGACTCTTCAGATAGGGTTGGTTGGTCCTGTAGTAGGAGCCTCCCTTCCCGCCTCCCCCAAGCTCGTAACATCCTCCACACAATCCCCCAGGAGCCGGGACATTCACCATGGGCTCCACCCTGGTTCAGACAGTACATGCACACACAGGGTGTGTCTTCTCAATTCTCTTCCAGTCGTGCTCACTGATGAGAAAGTCTCAGGTGGGCGCTAATTCAACACCTCTCGCTTGCTGGTCATTTCCAACATGGCAACTGGCTGAGAAGGGAGGATGGCAAGAGATGATGGCTCGGATCCAATGAGGTGGGAAGGGACTCAGGATAAATTTCACTTCCTACTCTACCTGGCCGGGACCCCTTGGCCCCTTAACCCTCCCACATAAATGGCTCTCTTCCTCCAGAGCTGGTGCCTGCTCCTGGCCCTCTCCCACGCCTACTTCCTAAGGCTCTGGGGAGACAGCGAAGGCGTCAGCAAAGGTCTGCGGGCCTCGGAAGGAGGCTGGGTGGGGGAAGGAGTGGGGAACAGCCCACTGATCACGCCTCCAGTTCCCAGGCATCTGGGGGTTTCCGTTGCTACCCTCACGATAGCAAATCCTCCTTTTACAGCTGTGGAACCTGATGCTCAGAGAGGGCAAGTGATTCACTCAGGGTCACCCAGCTAAAGCCAGACTGCATGGATGAGGGTGAGGATACGTCCAGAAACTGCTCTTGCGTGCACTTGTTGAGGGTGGTGGTGGTGGGGGGCGGGCTTGAGTGAACTCAAAGACCCAGAGCAACAGGCCAAGTCCCAGGGAGCACACGTGTAAGTTGTGTAAGTCGGGGTGAGTTTGGCCCAAGCACCTGGTGTCCCATTCCCCTCCCCCATGCAGCTCTGTCCCTGCCCTAACAGGAGGGAGGGGGAGGGAGTCTCCCCGGGCTATGCCAGGAATGCAGCTGCAGCAGGGCCAGCGGGGGGGGACTTGAGGATATGGGGAGGGGGAAGGGTAAGCTGTGACAAAGCGAGAGAGAGTCATGGACATATATACACTA